AGCCTATGCTGAATTACAGGGTGGTATCTAGACACTAAATTAAATGCTTGTTTTACTGATCTGGGATAGCCTTTCTTCAGTGAACATTATCTGGGGTTACCGTGTTTTCCTTTGGGAGCTTCAGCAGTATTTCAGCCCCATGGTGCTTCCCCTAGTTTCCCTAGAAATGTTTAAACATCTCTGCTTCCTCCCTCTAGGCATCTTGTCTGCAAATTTTAGCAATGGCACCTCACCTCCTCCTCTGCTCCTGCTGTGGGTTGAACACCACCACCATCATATGGATTAAATATGTTCCTGTGCTTCAGTCCCAGTTTGGCACAGGGGACTGGGAGTCAAAGCCCAGAGTGGGCTCCACAGGAGGCTCAGGGGTCTGCTCAAGCAGCAGTAGTGCCTGGGATGCAGCTGCCAGCCCAGACAGGCAGGAAGCCTTGTCCTGCCCCAGCCAGTCGGGACAGTGAGCACGAGTGGCACCTCGGGATCTCTGTGGTCGGGATGACCCCAAGGTGTTAGAAAGTCTCTTTTTCCCAGCCTGGCACTCGAAGAAGGAGTTGGAATTCCTTGGCTCTGGTTTTTAAGGTTGTTTATTTTCTCTTATCTAGTACATTATTTTACTGACCCACTGAAATCTGTCTGGCAGGTCGGTTTGTGGCACACTGACCGCCCTTGGGGCGGTGTTAACATTTTATACTAAGAACAACAAGTATTTTATTTACCATTATTTTCCAATACTTATCACCTATGTTAGACAGTCTGTCTCTACTCTAAACCAATCTAAAAGTGCCACCATCACAGCAGAAGATGGAGGCTAAGAAGAAGCAGGAAGAAGGACATGGCACACTCAAATCCCTCCATCTTGCCTCCTGAAACCCCAAAAATCTACTTTTTCACCCAGTGACAAACTAACTATCATTCTACTTAAACTCTCCTGGCTTGTATATCTTCATACAGAGCTGGCAATTTTCTCCATGGGTTAAAATCAAGGGCACAGGTGTCTTTGACTCAGTGCCAAAGTCTCTGAACACCCTGCCAGGGTCTCTAGTCCTCCAGGGCAGCCAGAGGAATGTCCTGGGTTCCAACATAGCACAGCACAGTCTGTACCTGCATGGCATAAATTGCTACTACCATGTACTGAGTATTTCACAGCACTGAAAAGCTAAACACTTACACAACAAGATTGGCAACTGTCTAAACCTACACATCTAAACCTGATGAGGGCTGAAAATTTTCACATTAAAATGTCGCCAAAATCAGCATGTTTTAGTGCAAAAGTTGCAGTATAGCTGTGCACAGGATTTTCTCCCTGACATGACTCTGACTGTAGGCACAGCCCACAGCAGCTTGTGGTAAGGACACAGTTGGCCCTTTTGGCTGCCAGCTCATGCTCCTGGCTCAATTCAACTTACCATCAGCCCAAACCAAATTTAGAACTCTTGGCTGTCTAAGTGGGCAGTTTAGTCAGAAAAGCTCTCTGTGAGTCAGCTGGTGTTTCTAGGATCACCCCTGGTGTCAATGTGGGATATGCACAAGGAAAGTGGTGGCAGAGGCATCACACAACATCAGCAGAGGCAGGACACTGTCCCAGGCAGTGACCACAGCTGGTGCTACACAGGCAGGGCAGCAGACCCTGAGTGCAGGCTGGTGCTTAGGCTGGCTCTGGAATTTGTACAACACATGGACTGAGCAGTGGGACCTTCTCATTTCAAGGCTGTTTCATCCAGGTTTCATGGAGAAGGGGCTGTGTGAGGAGCTCGGTCACTCTGCTACAGATCAGACTTGAGTTATGATTTGAAATCAAAGGCAGCAAGGCTACAGAGGATGGTATTCAAGGTTTTTTTTTATTGCTTCTGTCTCTTGCTTCTCTCAGGGAATCATTTAGGAAAAGGCAGTAAGAAAGCATGAATTTTGTGGGGTGCCTCTTTGGAAGTGTTTTGGCAATATTTTGATATACTTGCAAAATAAGTTATAGTGAGTTTTTATCCATTCATTTCTCTTAGACAAATATCTTGGAAAACTGAGGCACTTTTCAGATTCAGCAGTACCAAGGGAGAGAGCAAAGATGATGGGTCACATTTGGGTCTGCTTTTTAGTGCAGATCTACTTGTTTTCTTTGTACAGAAGAGGGACTTCAGGCAACAGCCATGACTTCAGAAAAAATTAGGACAGATATTTCAGAGGAGGTTCCTAGATGCTGCCTACTCGATACCTGACCTAGAAAACATCCTTTTAAGCAAAAGCAATAAATGCAGAAAAGAAATTTTCGTGGTCTGAGCTGTACTACAGACTGCTGCTTATACCTGAGCACAGAGTCTAACTCCCTGCATATAAACCTTCCCTGTGCTTTGGGTTACTACTTGAAAATGTCCCTGGAAGAGGAGATGATGGGTGTCCTGTGCTGCCATAAAGTTTCTCTATACTGGGATGAGTTTCCTTTAATATGATTACTTATTTGAGGTGTGAAGGACACCAATAACTCTCACCAATTTGATGGGAGTTGTAAGCACTCAGTCCATAAAATATGGAGAACGCTGTAGAGGTGGGTAAACACATCACCTCATAAATACAATAGGAAGCTGCAGTGCATTTTCCCCCAGTCTGACACACACATCAAATCCTATACACATTTTTTTCAGCAGCATTTCATATTTTATAAGGCAATCATATTACTGGGAAATTAAAATTAGCCATAGAGAGACAGATCCTGAAAATTCTTTGTAGTAAAGGGAGAGCAAATGGATGGAGTTTTATCAGGAAATGAAAATCAGGCCAGCTTTATTGTCACATCAGTTGTTATTTATTGCAACAGGCTTGTTTTAACTCCTGCACTCAGTTAAAGAAAAGCCTCCAGCACTCAGTTAAAGAAAAGCCCCAAACCAGCCATTTGTCCTGAATGAACAAATTGATTTCCTGATACAAAGCCATTCCCAGAGTGTGCAGCAGAGTTTGCTCAGCAGCTCAATTTGTGCCACAGAGTGAATGGGAAGATTTTGCCAAGAAGTTTGCCAGTCTTTTGCCATTATTACAAGCAGAGGTACTGATAGGAATGTAGCTGTATCCATGAATCTCCATCCTGCCTTCTTTCCTAAGGTGGCTGTCCCCAAGATGCTGCTCTGTGTGTGTGTGTGTACCTGCAAAATGACCAAGACTGTACCACTTTGTGCCTGTCCACTAGCCCCATTTTCTTCACTTTCCAGCTGAACACTGAGCATTTTTGATTCTCCCCACTTTTCCTTTGGTAAAACATATGGGATTGTCTTAAATACAAAACCTGAAACCATTTTTTTACCATGCTTGAAAGTAGTCCACCCATAAAATAATTGCCTCTACAGTTGGTTATTATTAATCAGCTGCTAACCAAAAAATAACATGTTATATAAACAGACTGCTACCACCCCCAGCCTCAAAAATTACTTTTTGAAAGATATTTTTGCACAGAGTTAAAATATTCCTGTTGATAGATTTTTGCTTTTCCTCCTCTACACTTCACAGATATCAGTGGAGTTATATATAGTGATGGAGTCTGGCAGCAGGGAGGAAGTATTTCCCAAGGAAATACTGGTTGCTGGTGTGTGTTAGGTAAGAGCTGCAGACACAATCCTGCTCCACCAGCATGGGCAGTGAGAGTCTCAGTGGCCTGGCAATACCATGACAGTGTGCACTGTTATCTGCCTGCATTGCCACAGACAAATGGTGTCTGCACAACACTTGAGTGTGAGAGATGTCATCCTTTCCCATGGGTGGGAGCAGTGCAGCCAAGGCAAGAGGCACAACCTGTTGCTAATTCTGCCATTTTCTATAGGATCATGGGTATATAAATATTGAGCAGACAGTTAACTGATGTGAGCTTTTAGAAGCAAGGGAGCTTTTACATGGTTTTACAAATTGTCAGTCAGAGTGGGAGTATCAGCTTGGCAGGCAAGATAAGATGAAGTCTTCATATTATAGCACAACTACAGTGGATTAGGGAGAAAAGATGGGCAAGAACAGAGCCCCAGTGTTAATTCAGGGCTCTAGTTCCTCCAGGCCAGCATGTGGTAGAAGGAGATGAGGGAGCGTTCCACTGAAGGTGAATAAGAAAACAGACGATGAAAGTTGGAGCCAAGTGGTGAAGCAAAGGTCAGAGAGGTCATTTCCATGGGAGCCATAGAGGGTTGTGAAGAGTCAGTTCCAATAGAAAGATACCATCTGTTGTCACATTACATGCATTTGAGCTGCCCAAAGGCACCCTGAACCCAATCTGATGCTCCAGAGGAGCACCATCCTGAGCCCCTGCTCAGGGTGAGGGGGTCCCCCACACATGCTCTGCTCCATCTGCAGAAGAGAAAGTGCATTTACAAAGCATTTTGGCTCTTCCTAGTGATGAGGTTATAAATAAGTCAGTGAAGTATCTGGCTTTTCATCTGTGCTTGATTAGGGCTTATTCAGCTTCTACTTTGGAATGGCAGCAAAGCTTTAGTATTAAACAATCCTGCTGAAGCTCTGGGTGAGCTGAGGACTGGAGCTACTGGGGTACCACACAGGTCTGCCTCTGGCTCCATGATGGAAAGAAACGCCTGTAGCAAGGGCCCCAGACATAACATTCCCTCCCCTTCCACAGATTTTTGTGGTCCTGGGCAGTTGCTTAATGCCCATGCCTAGATGAGGATAAAGGCACCTGCCTGTACTTGCTCCCTGATACTGAGCCCAGCTGCTGAAGGGTGGCCCATGTCTTCCAGACAAATTTCAGATGGTGTAGCCTGCCCACATCCAGTTTGTGTGTTGACAATGGTGTCAGCTCCATGTGCTAGCCTGTGCCATGTCTGGGGATTATCAGAGATGGTGTTTGCCAGCACTATGGTAACAGTTTAACAATATGGAAAATTAAGAACCTTGCCAGGCAACGTTTCCTTGGGGTTTCCAGGCTGAGACACATCTTTGCATCACCAGAGGTGAAATTGCAAAGGTGCACACTCATGTATATATATATGCCTTATATATAAGTTATATATAAGGCATAGTTATGAGATTAAATATAGAAAATTGTTTAGGTGCTTGGATTTATAGCAAAGATATTTAGGCTCTAATGGTCAAAGAAATGTCACTGGGAATTCAATATATCTGTGTTCTTGCAGATCTAGGCCACAGTCCCTGTCCCAGGGGGATTTTAGTCCCACTAGATACTTCTCTGCTATCAGAAATGAAGAACCAGCATAAATGATGATTGGATTTTCCTTTGATCCTTCCCCTGCTTGGCATTCTCTTCCTTTGATAAGGTGCCAATCACTCCCAACCCCTCCCCCTGTTCCTTTTTTTGCCAGGCCACACAGAGGAAGTACAAGAGGTACTTGCAGTGATTGGAGTGGGCTGATTAACCTTCACAGCCCTCGGTGCCCCAGGTACGGAGCTGATGGCCATAAATCTCATTCAAATTGCCATCTTAATGTGGTTTCTTGAGGTTCTTTAGGCTGGGTTTGGATGGAGCTGCTCACTGAGTTAATTAATTTTTCTTAATCTGTTGCAGATTTCACCAGCTTACTGATCTATATCTAGGTCAGCTTCATAAAGCATCATTTCTGTTCTAGGGCTTCATAAAGTATCATTTCTGTTTTAGTCTTCAGCAGGGAAGACAGGTGGAGGGGGCTGGCTGATAAATGGTGAGACTGCATGGGTCTCCAAGTGAAGTGTTAGTCTGTGGCTTTTACTTAGTGCCTTAAAACTGTTTGCAAAGACATGTGAATTGAAGTAAGCCATGTGTAAGAGACTGAGATGTTAATGGCTTAAACTTTGTAAATCATTAAAGGACTTTTTCCCCACCATGGCAAACTGCAAAGACACAGCTGAATATCTGTGAGCACTCAAGCCCACCCCTCCCCAAATATGCCCAATACCTGGAATTTGGATTGTTATGGGAACTGTGATAAGGTGAAGGGGTACTACTGTCCAGTTGTCCCAGGTCTAGGGAGGAGAATGTATCCACAAGTGATACAGGAAGAGAGACTGGAATGCTGGTGGTTCAGATATTCAGGGGGAAGCTGCAGAAGTGCAGGGGCACAGAGGGTGAGCACAGCCCTCCTCAGGCTCCAGCTGCTGCTGAATGAGGTAAGAAAGAGGCAAACCCTGTGTGGTGGGGAATCGTCTCTGTGCTTACTCCAGCAAACTCTGCTGTGTTAACTCCCCTGCCAGGGAAGTACCAGAACACTCCCAGGTAGCCTGGAGGTGTCTGTCTCTGCTGATGGGCCACCATGGGCCACAATGGACACAGCTGGCCTGGTGTAATAGGCAGCTGTATCTCCTTGGAAGGTGTCAAAGACTCCCGAAATGTCCTGAGATCCACAACATTACATCACTCAGCTGGAACTCCCTCCTCCAGGGCAGGTATCTGGGCATTCCTATTTGAGCCTGAGTGAATATAAACCAGAGTTTGTATTCTGGGGGTTCCCTCACCACCTGACGGATCCAGTCTGTGACTGTCACTTTGACTAAGGCTGTGACCATCACTTTGACCAGCAAACATTGAAATGGCAGCAGCTGAGCCTCTTTACAATGCCTGTGGGTGGTGAGATTTTTCTACTCTTATAATTTCTTTCTCTCTCTTATTCATTTTCTCAAGTGATATTTGCATGCTTTTATATTGTTATATTACTGTAGAGAACAGCAATCAAAATGCCTCCATACCTGTTTTCCTGTGCAACCAAACTGTTCTACAATAAACCCTACATATGTATAGTTACAAGCACTGATCATCCAGTTTGTTTCACTCTAATCCACTCCAAGTGAGTCAGACATTGAGCTATACTGATGGTATGGGCTAAAAGTCTTCAAAATTAATTGCTTTAAGGGGTCAATGGTCCTTTAAAGGTGTGGGGGCTTGGCTGCTGCTGGGGAAGGCAGAAAGTGAAGAAAAGCAGGTAGAGTCTAATGACAAATTGTTTGCTGCTCTGCTAATCATGAAATAAGGAATTTAAATTGAAGTCTCAGCAGCTGTGAGGTCAGACCTGGCTGCAATTTACAACCTCTGCCATAAGGGTGACAGGGAGGGAGATGGAGTTGGGTGAAGAAGAAGAAGCAAGCAAAGAAGAAAAGATGTTTAAGGCTGAGTGGGAGAAAGAAAGAATGTGTGAAATGATCATCAACCTTGATTTACATTTGATGTAGAAGATGTATGGCTTTTACAGACCCTCAGAAAAGAAAATATCTGCTCAGAAACAGCTTAATCTGTCACTTTGCAAAGCCAAGTTCTTTTTCACACTAGAAGGAAAAAGCCATGAAACAGCAATTTGCAGAAATGAACTGAGTTCCCATGATCAGGTAGACTGTTTAACCTGTCCTCACTGGCTCTTTTTCTGTACCATGGGCCTCTTTCATGTCAGTTTTTTAATCAAGCAGAGTGTAGGCCTTCAGTGAATTGGAAGGGACGAAAAATTAGAGGTCAGAACAATCTTATACATGGGGAAGGAGATTTATGTTTTCTCTGGATCCATGATCTGATTTTCCATTGTAGCTTTTCTCCATACATGAAATCTCCAAGCAAAAGAATTTAGTTTAATGACTGTGTAATAATTTTCCAGATGATATCTATTACATTGGAAAGTGATAAATATCTCAATTAAATTTAAAAAAATATGCCATTCCTAATAAATTTCAGCAGACATCTGCCAAGAAGATGCCAAGATGTCTCTTGCAAGACAAGCATTTGAGCTGCAGGAATATTGAAAAATAAAGGGAAAGTCTACATGTGCATCACTATGCACACACATAAATAGCAACAGATGTGAACATGTAGGCAACCATCTTTTGGGGTGTTTGCCAATTTAACCAGCTCCAAATCTGCTTATATTCTGAGCATGCTGAGAAAGGATTCATGCAGCAAAGATTTCAAAATGTCACTTAATCCTGTCAGCCTGTCCTGTAGTCAGGGCCAGTCAGTCTTCACAAAGCCCCTTGGTGTGGGAAAGGTAAATCATGAACCTCAATGAATGAGAAGGAGACGTGAGCTTTTTTCCCCATGTACAACAAATCAGGGTGTGTCTGCTGCAACTGGGTATTTGGTAGGAAGCCTCATTTTTGTCATAATTCAAAAATCCTGGTACAAACCCCAAACAAGGATTAAATTTCCTTTCAACAGTACTAACCATTTTATGGTTCCCAGTAGGAGTTTTGCCATTGCATTTTTTGTGTGTTTTGGACTTTGTCTTTCTCTGACTCCCATTCTAATTTTCTCCTAGAGTTCCCCCTCTGCAAGGCCATTTTCTTGTTCTTGGCTCTGCTGGGATGACACACATGCCAAGTGCAGGGGCCAGCTTTCCCATGCAGTGTCTGGTCTGTCCATCTGCAGCAGCCCCATTGCAGAGGGAATCCCTCTGCCAGGAGCCTGGAGCTTGTGCAGGATCCCTGGGGAGTGCCTCTGCTTTCCTTCCACACATTGCTACCTGCTTGCTCAATTCCCCAGGCTGTAAGGCTAGACAGGAAAACAAGCACAGTGTTTGGAGCTAGAGCCCTGCTCTCATTTAGGAGCTGTGAAGATATTTTAGGAACTCAGGATGTTTGAGATGGTTTGCCTCTCTGAAATGTGAATGTTCAGAGCCTTGTTGCCTCATTAAATAATAAAGTTACTGACTGTCAAGTGCGTTGAAGACCTGGGATGAAAACTGTCTCTTAAGCAACCTCTGATTTTATTGTGATGGTGGTAGGCTGCTGGCCAATTACGTCTGTCTTGAAATTGGTTAACTCAGTTCCCTGTGGAGATCTGCTGTGACTCCAGACACGTGTTCTCTTAATTTTCTGAGAGCAGCAAGCAGATCAGTCAACAGCTTGCAGATCAGAGGACAATGCTGCAGCAAGCAGGAGCTGGGACTTCAGGGTGCTGTTCAATAAGAAACAAACCCAGCTAACTGGTTTTCCGTACAGTAAACAGCCTGGTTCCTAATGATTTACTTATTCTGCAGCTATGTAGCAGTGTGGGGTTTGGATTTGCTTCTGAAGAGGAGCTGAGTGCTACAAGGTCAGGTCATGGCACAGAAGCACAGTGCCAGGGGAAGGCTACAGGAATATAGAAGCATTTGAGTCTAAGACATCTTCTTCTTTTGGTAGAGTACAATTTCCTTTCCAAATCTATTTCCAGAAAGCAAAAGCTGCAGGTCACTGCCCCAAAAGCTTCCTGCTGGACTAGGGAGTTATCTAAATGGAATGCTCAAACAGAGCTGAGAGGAGCAAACCAGAGTATTGGTTTTTCTGAGCTCACACAGAAATGCTGCAAGATCCCACCTTCAGATGCCAGCCTGTGCCTTTCCCCAGGCTCCCCCTTTCAGGTGTCTGCTCATGCTTCATCTGTCACCCCTGAGCACATGAAAGAAAAATGCTGCTGGTAAGATTTTCTCTCCAATGTTGCTGACAAGCAATCTGTCTGTTCCTTCTCTTTAACACTGTGCTAGAAAGCCCCACTCTGTGTGTACTGCTAAAGGTCTTGAAGCTGATATGGAAATGTCTGACGTGTCTGCATTCCCTGGACCTCACATTACAGTGAGGATTGACATTTCCTTTGGACTTGAGGTCAAAAGCCATATAAAAATAAAAACCCTTCATCAGGTGATATAGATGAACTTGCTCTGTAGCTGGCCTGAACTTCCTTAGTCTCCACAGCAATCAAGTCAGTAATATTTTATAAGATAATAAGGTTCCAGAATGAAAGCTTCTCTGTTCCCAGAGCTCTGCTGGAAAATAAAAGCATCCCCTTTTGTCCATCAAAGATCCAGTGCTTTGTTCCTGCCCTGTGAGCAGTGTCCTCCCCACAGGTCAGTCCAGCTTTGAGATCCTGATGAGTGTTACACTACGGACTTGTTGGCACTAAGCACTGTTGGTGTTCCAGGCTCTGTTGTCTGTTTTAGGTGGCAAAATCTGACCCAAGGATGTTGAGAACATCTGAAGGAACTTGGGACAAAAGCTAGATGGAACAGCCTTGTCCCAGTAGTAGCCTATATGCCAAAGACTCTTCTCCCAATGCTTTCTCAGTGTTCTGTTGTCTGTTGTCATCATCATCATCACAAGTATTAATAATTTGAACCACTGTACTGCTTTGAGTATATGTCTTTTCTAGGAAGGGGATCTCCCTGAAGCAGACAGAGTGCACCTGTCTGTAGCAGGAGATGGTCCATGCAGTAGAGAGCTCACAACATAAATATGTGGGATCAGAGGCTGGGAGAAAGCAGGTGGCAGATCTTCCACTCAAGGCTCCTCTCCCTATATTAAGCTCTACCCTACTTATGAAACCCAGACAGCTTTGGTGACCATATGCTGTTGGTAGGAAAGCATAATTGTTCTTAAATCCTTACAGGATGTTATCTGCTCCTGTTGCTCAGCTGGTGGGAGTGTATCCATCTCCAGTTATTTAACAGTTAGCCATCTCCTCTAAACTAGCTTTCCATGGTCCCAGTGTAGCTTTGGGAAAGAGATAGGAACATATGGACTCTGCATTCCTTGGCTGCTCTCTTCAAAGTGTAATGAGTGCTCCCTTTGGGGGTGCCCACCAGCTTGTAGAAGGTGCTTAGGTAGGTCTCTCAGACAAGAACTTGACATCCATAATCAGAATAATTGAGATCATAAACAAGCTTGTAGAATAAGTAATGGAGGAAAATGCTGAGCTGCTGATAAGCAAATAATTACTGAGAAGTTTCAGGAACTCTGGTTGTATCATTTTAGGATGGCATTAGATGAGTGAATTGCACCTCAACTACATGCTATGGAAAAAGGAGTGTTTTTTTCCCATGTCTTTATGGAAGTTGCCAGTCTCACCCAGCAGCAGATGTAGCTTCGGACCTCTTCCCCTGGACAAAGCCTGAAGGTTTAAACTCCCTAAAGAGCCCCACTGATGAGTGGTGAGTGGTGGTGGCAACAGACAACATTAAGAGCCACCAAGAAAAAAGATGAGAAAATCTGCAAAAAGGGGCAAGAGTAAATATTAAAATAACCTCAACACTTTAATTCCCATCCCATTTTAATGTAGGACTGCACTCTATTAGCATAAAAATACCAAATACATTTATTTTGTTAAGACTTTGCTGAGTAGCCTGACCCCTGGCCCAATGCAGTTACCAGCTATATTTCTGTTCTACAGAGAGGTGAACAGATGGCTTCTGTGTGTGTGACTGTGTAAGGAAACCCATTTCTGCAAACAGGGGATGTCAGGTGAGTTAGTGGAACAAACTTCTACTTCTGTATTAAGTTAATTGTGCAGCGACACAGAGCTTAGTGTCGGGTTGTTTTCCACTCAGCTCAGGTACATTAATTAACTTTCCAGAGTGTTGCTGGAAAGCTGAAGGATATCCTCATGTTTCTGGATGTGCATGATGTCAGAACACACACTTCAAGTGGAACCAGGAGCACTTGGTTTTTCCTCCTTGTTGATATCAACAGGAGCTGGTTTGATCCAGCCCATGGTAACCCCTGTCCTACTTCAGTCTGGCTTGGATGGCAAAGAATCAATGGTGAATACTTAAAAAAGATAGCTGTGAAATCCCATTCAAGAGTGAAATATTTGAGGCTAGAAAAAGCCATTAATGACCATTTCAACCTTCAGTAAGGCAGAAGGAAAGATTTTCTGTTGGTTCAGTTGCATTGCATTATATCTGATTATACTGATAAAATAATGAAGTACAATTTTGTTGCTGATTGCTATTAAAATATATATTTATAGAAAAGCATTAAATCTCAGTAGGTAGAATTAAAATACATGTGTTTAAAATGAATACGTGCTGCTGAACATGAGCAAAGATACTGTGATTACTCCCATGTGGTTGCACACATCTTAGATGAAGACTCTGTCTAAACTTTTGGAGAGAAACAAAAACTTCAAGGGCTCATCCGACTAATTTTAGGCTTTTGCATTATGATGAGATGGCCAACATGCTGAAAGACTCTATACCTCTGTGCTGATTGAAATGAGGAGACAATGATTAAGACAGAGGTAAAAATCTGCATTGAAGGCATCCATATTTCCTAAATAAATTTGACTGGATTTTTACTGGAAAACTTTTAGTATTAAAAATAAAAGGCATTCCTTAGAAAAACCAACTAATGGCGTAATAGAAGAGCAAAATCCCAGTTTCATGAAAACTGTCCTGGAAGAGTATATAAATTGGTCAGACCAGTTAAGGTGAAATTCCCAGGCTCATTTGTCATGCACCAGAAATTACAGTGGGAAAAAACCTCAACTTTGAGTGCTCTGTGCTCCTGGGATTTTTATTAACAAGGGCATGCAACTGCCAACTGAAGACTGACATAGAAGCTGCATTTGAACTACACTTCATAGAAATTAACATTTTATTGAGTTAATCAGAATCAATATAAATTTAGGTTGCTTTTTTTCTGATGTGGAAGGGGTGGTGAGCAGAGTGAAAGCAGTAGAGGCTGTGAATAATGGTAAATATACATTATATGTTCTTGTTATTGTAAATAGGATTATTTCTGTCAAAATCTGTGTTCTGTCTTAACTTGCATATTCAGCCAGGCCTATTATTATACTGCACAAATTATTATGCTGCAGAAAATTATGTTATTATACTGCACAAAAAAATCTTTTCATTTGTTTGATGCCTCTCTTGAAGGGCAGGAAAATTCAGTGAGAGAATGGCTTGAACCACAAGCAGAACAGTTTTTCCTCTGACTCAAGATAGCCATGTATCACCAGTGTTCCCAAATCAGCTTATGAATCTTCAGTGTGCAAAGGTATTTTTAAAAAAGGGTTGAAGAGGAAAAAAAATGAATAAAAATTAAATAGATGGCGAGATGCTGAAATGCAACATTTGCAAGATAATGCTTAGAACATTTCCCAGCAGAAGGAAATTTTGAGAAATAGACCTTTGTCCAGTGCTACTTGCTCAGACAAAGCAGAATGATCTCTTTGTGAATATTTCAGTCTCATCTGCAGTGCTGAGGTTTTGTTCTCCCCTCCTCGGGGGCTTCAGGAGCTCCTGGGGCTCATTCCAGCAGAAGGTCAGGAACATCTTCTGTCCTGCCATGAGTCAAGTGGGCTGACCAGGGGGAGCTGGTGTGCTGGCATCTGGAAAGAGATACCCAAGCCTGACCTGGTCACTCCCCACAGGCTGTGGGTATAAACTTACAGGAATCTTCTCATTTATGGGATGTCCCAAGGAGCTCAGAGCCAGGGGAGGAGGAGGAGACCTGGGCATGGCTTGTCCTGGGCTCTGCTGCTCAGTGTGGAGCTGGCTCTCGAGGACACGGGCCTCTGTCACCCTGCTGTCCCCTGTCCTTCCCTCCCCTGGGCTGGGAGTGCTGGGTGGGCAGCATCCCTGCAGGAACACCTCATAGATCCTTCCAGCTGGAGTCACATCCCTGCTCTGCAGATCAAGGATGCTTCTCCTCATCTCCTCCTGCTGCACAGGAAGGGTGATGATGCCAAGTAACTTGTGAAACTTCATATCCAACACATTTTGGCTTCTTTCTGCTTTCATAAAAAGCCCAGTGTGTCTGACCATTTTCTCTGTTTATAGGCAGAGCATGGAAACAAAATCAGGAACATGTGTTGTGTTTGTTCCAGCAGCTGAGCAGCTGACATTGCAGAATAAACCATATTTATTTATTTATCACTGGCAAACAGAGCTACATATGGCAAAGGTCCACAGCCCCACACAGTAAAGCCTGTATGATATAATGATGCCAAGTCCTAGAGCTCACTCTGGAAGTTTTGGGTCTGTCTTTCTGGGCAACCAGGAGTGCCTGACCTCATGTGCTTCTCATTTGTGTCTTTTTCTTCTACTTACAGCTGATGAGGAATTGCTGTCTGACATGGAGAAATAACCGGGCCAAAGTACACTCAGGCAGGAGGGAGCAAAGGAAAATTTTATAGTTATTTCTGTACATTTTATAGCTGCTACAGAAGCACAAGCTTTGATGTGCAGTATTTTCAGGAGTTCAAACCCTAGTAAAAATTGTGACATGAGTGGTATTTACCAGGTATATGTTTTCCTTAAGGGAGATAATGTGAAATCATCACTGCCATCCAGACTGGCATTTTTGGAAAAGGGCACCCTCTGTCACACAAAATCCCTTGTGCCTTACGTGCCCCCTCCCTTGTGCTGGTGGCAGCAGCCAGCTATGTACCAAAGGTTAGCTGCTGAGTCACTGGAACCAAAGCATCCAAACAGTGGCTTACTTGAGAGCTACTTGCTAGGAGTGGTGATTCACTGGTTTGAGGTCTCTTTCATATGAATTTGAGAGCAATTTATTTACCCTTCTTTCCTAAAAGATTTTTTTCCTTTTCACACTTTTCTAGGCACAGGAGCAGCAGAGCAGCCAAACAATGCTGGATGCTCATCTTGGCAATTTCTAAAGTGCTGTGAGCAGAGTATGCCAGGAATCTTGTTTCTAAACAACCACTCAAGGTTTTCTGCCTCTGTTAAAGCTTCCAGGTCCCTTGTTTTGAAAGCTAGAAAGCTTTTCCTATGCATAAATATATGAAACCTCCCTGTCCAAACTTGGGCTCTTTGACATATCTGAGGAAGCTGCCCTAGCTCTTCCTTGGACTGAGTCTCCTTTTCCCTGCTCTTGCTCCACAGACCTTCAGTCACCAAGTCAGTCATCCTGCCTGATGTTAAAGGTTGAAATTCATCCCCTACTTGTTATTTTGGCATCCTCATTGAGCTGTGTCCTTTCTGACATGTCTTTCAGCTGGGAGAGAATCAGCTTTATCTAAGCTGAGAACTGCCTGGAGGAACTCAATGTGAGCTCTCAGAGTACTCACACACAGTGGGTAAGCATGGCTGATAAGCATGGCTTGGTAACTCACAGGTGACTGAGTCATTTAATAGAAGGAGAAACAGAGCAGCAGCTTCCTGATTAGCACAACTTGACACAACTTGGCAGAGAGCAAAATTCTGATATTGGTTTACCTAGGCCCAGATGCACTGTGCAGTGAAAGGTAATTATTGGGGCATTATTGTTTACAGGATATGACAACAGTCTCTCCAAGGTCTTGGGGGTCAGACTAATTTTTTCATTTCACATCTGTCTGGTACCTAGCACACTTGTTTTGTCTTACTCAAGAGATTCTATAGATAACAAGGTCATCGTAATTCACGACAGCCCCTGCATTTCTGACCTGTATTTCTCTTGCAGATTATCTAGCCACACAGAAAACAAACGTATAAATACATAGTCTCATGGAGTAAAGGTGCAGTCTGGGCTATCAGCCTGGGATGGAAGAAGAGAGTTATGCTCTACTCTTTTGGTTTTCTGAATTGCAGTCCTGCTGAGCACAGCTGGGAATTGCAGTAAATCCAAACATTCAGGACAGAGCTGAAGATTTCAATGTGCACTTTGTCAAACACTGCCTCACATGAGAGAAAATTTCCCTGACTTGGCTGGAAGAAATAGTATCCTGACTGTATTTTTTAACTCAGACAGGGAAATGTAAATAGCTCAGAGCAGGAGTGCCTCGTATCTGGAGCTACAGAACAAATGAATGAGCTGTAAGAAAAGCAGTGAAAGAATATTTCTTGCAGCATCAGATTGAAGAATATTTCTTGCAGCATCAGATTGAAGTTACAGACTATAGATTTTGTGTCCAATAGAGTTGAGGAGTGCCTGCAGATAGGTTGAGCAGGATCTGACTGATTCTGAATAATCAGAATTTCCTGACATGGGCTCAGGGAGCTATCTTCCCTTAGAAAGGGGAACCAAGAGGAACAGTGACTTCTACACATCCCTAATGTAGACACCCACATTGACTGCAAAGGGATTTATGGGTGACCAACACGACTGTACCTAAATCTATAATTAGATAATGTATTTCATTTGTGATTTCATAGCTGCTCACACGCAAGAGTCCAAAACCCCTCAGCTGTGCCCTCCAGGTGGTCACTCAGGGTGGCTTTCCAAGGAGAGTGCTGGCCAGCTGGTTTGTCAGTCCAGATCCTGCTTCACACTTGCCTTGGCTGCATAAACTGTCTTACAGATCAAGAGGTGCTATCCTGATGTGGAAATTCTGTCTCTATTCCTTTTATGATTTTGATTCTATTTTCTGAGCTTGCTCCATGCATTGAATTAGACTGAATGTGTCTGTTCAGGCTAACAAGAGAGTTAGTGTACTTGGACTACATGAAGATTTGGGCAGTGAACAAGCTATCTTTGTAAACAGGGTAAATACGTGACTCCCATGAAAAACACAAGCC